GTGTACCCCCTAAAAGAGTACCAAGTCAAAAACTAACGGCTGTATGAACGAGTTGTTTTTATTGGAGAGTAATTTCCCCTTTAGCCATCCCAACTGATGTAAAACGTCAAAGCGGTGAAAGCTTGTTTGTAACTGATGAAATTAGGACATAATTGTCGGCAGCCGCGCGCTAGGTCGGACGTGCACAGTCCATTGTTGCGAGTTGTGCGGTCGTAGGTTTGCAGCGCGGGAGGGCCTCTTGCGGGCAGCCGCTAGTTGCAGTTTGTAATTCCCATAAAAGGGGATTGTGTGTATAGAAGTCGTTGGCAATTTTTTTATGAGACGTAGAGTAAGTGTGCTCAACATAGCATGAAAGATATCAATTGATTTAATGTAGGATCATAGGGAACACGGTCTCGTAAGTCACTCATTAATGCATGGTTTCTAATGTATGGAAAAAACTCATGAATGAGACCATAAACATTATAACTTTTTATGGAATCCCACTGGGTACTCCTATGAAAAATTTCTAGGTGCATGACGGAATTTTTTGGTGCATAATGCTCCTAAAGTGGGGAGCAGTTTGGAGGGCTGCACAGTCGGCCACAACAATACAGAAAAATAAAGAAAGCATATTTAAATGTCTCCACAGCCAATTTGATTGAAAACATAATCATCAGGATGTGAAAAATGTCACAGGTTCGCTTTTTGGAAGTTTTGTTTTTGTTTTGACGGTTTAATCGTAGTGGGGTGAGTATGAAAATGGCCGATGGAAATTCACCCCGGGTTCCTTGAACAACAAAATTACTTGAAAGACACCACAAATCGGTATATAGAAATATATATACTCCCGAAAATTCTTTTAATTATGCATTTCCTTAATAGGATGTTGCTGAGTAGTCATAGAAAAAAACATAGAAAGCAGCGTAAATTTGTCTTTCGTCTCCACCGACGAAGGAAAATCTTCCTGTGCTGGCCTGCTGGCCACATCGCTTATCCATTCAGAATGCAGGTCATATGAGGTGAACCAATCAGAACATAGATTGTGCGCTGCTATTTACATATTCATGACAAAATTGCGCCTGGTTTTGTACAGCGATGTGGAGTATGTGTTTTTTTAACTTTTAAAACTTTCTTAGTTTTGACGCT